CATATGTGAAAGAAGCAGGTAGCTGTGCACCGAAATAGTTCAGATCAGTCTGACTGAGCTTCGCTAGAGGTTGAATGTAGGTGGAAGAGAAGTTGCAGCGGTGGTTGGTGTTTGGAAGAAAAGGGACTGAAGAAATAAAGAAGAAGACGAAAGAAATAAAGAAGAAAGAAGGGCAGATGGCAGGTGGAAGAGAGACTTGTCACGGTGGTTAAGGGAGAGAGACTGAAGAAATAAAGAGGAAGAAGAAGAAACGAATAAATGAAGAAAGAAGTAAATAAAAAAAAAAAATTATAGATGTAGACCCCACCAACATATCGGTCAAATATGACAGTATTTATTGAATACAATTTTTTAAGTAATAAAATAAACACATATTTCAAAAATTGTATCATAGAAATAGTAACCTAAACACACCCGATGTTATTATATTTCTAGAATGTCTATATTGGATTCAATATAACAAATTTAGTAATTAATAATGTAAAACGTGAAAAATTCAAGAGAGAGATATTCATCTTCTCTTTTACTATAACACTATTATTTTCCATAAATAGACATTCCCAATGCTATTTAGGCATATTATTAATATTGAGTATTATTACTGTAACACTTAATTCCAATGCTAGAAAATAGGCATATTATTTTAATATTCAGTAGTACAACTTTTTCCAAGTGAAATCTCAAAATTTCGATGGTTATGCATGAATAATATGATATGACTGATACATGAATAATATTCGTATATGGACTTTCTTTAACAAATGAACGTACCCTCAACAGTCAACATGTCACAACAGGAAAATTTGATACAACACGAAATGTACGTATGAATAAATTTATGATTTATGTTATATAAATATCTGTTTAATCCCCTTTTACTTAAGATGCAATTTAATTATTTATGATTATTAATCCCAATAATTGTATATTTGCACAAGTTCTACACTAATTGTATAAACTTTGTTAACTAAACGAACAATTGTCCAGCGGTCAGGAAAGAAAAATAATCGTCATTAGGTGACTCTGTGATCAACTAGGACTCTTGGGTATAGTACTAAGAGATCATAAGTTGATCTATTTTGATTACTAATAGGGGTGATCATTAGAGGATTTACTCAGTTGTCAACTTCATACCTCGGAGAATTAGTTGAGATACATTCAAGCTAGCCGAATACTCCTGATTATTAAAAAAAAAATAATAAAAAAAAAAAAAAAACTAATGCCCATGTGCCAGAAACTATCTATATATGTTAATAAAATATATAATTAACCTATAATAAGAACTTATCACTTATAGCCCTTTCCTATTTAAAAGAAAAACGAAAAAGAAAAAAAGCTGTGGTTGATGAATGCCAAACGGAACAAATAATGATCTACTTCTAACCAATTATGTTTACTCTTTCCTTTGATCGATACACAGAAAATGATGTTTGATTTATTTCACATGTAACAGCTAGCTCCATTTCCAAAACGTCTTACCTGAATTAAGCTTGCTGGAATTCACAATTCAGAAGGAACTAAGCATGACAGCAGCACCACACTGCATGCCACAGTATTTACCTACCCTCGCTTAATTAATCGTTTCATTTGCGTTGCATGAAATGGAAGTTACGTAACCAGGAACCTTTTCTCTAAACGTTGTGCTTCTATAAGTCGTGAGTCGTGAATCGTGGAATGAAAACTATAAATAAGAATAAACTCCACATATAATAATTTATAATTTTTTAATTTATATTTTAAGAAAGTTATCCTACATAGTAATAATTATCTATATATTACAAAAAAATATATGTTATATTACATTAAAAGTTTAAGATGAAAAAAATATTGTATTATCTAAAATTATTTGGAACAATGATTTATGCTTTAGAGTGTTTCACATCTTTTAATTTACAGGTATATAATAACTCGTTAACATAGACACTTTGTTGTTGATGCTAGAATATTTTTAGCTTTCAAGTACGTTAGAGTTTCTTGACACAAAACTTTTTGTATTTTCGTACTATCATCTTCAAGATTATTTATTTTCTTCTTCTGTCTAATTGTAATAAGGACTGCTAAAACAATGAATTGAAATCTAATACATACTACTAAAATATAAATTATAAAATAAGAAATTAAAACAATAATTTTTATAACTACACCTCTATTATATTATAACCTCCTTATAGTAATCTCACCTTATAGTTTTATATATGCAAAACAAATATAAAACAAAATTGAAAAAAAAAAAAAATTGGGGGCCCGCCCTGATGTAAGGTTTTTCTAAAAATTAATAATTGATTCTCCTGCTCCCAGTTAAGAACATAGTTCTAGGCTTTAGACCATCTCCACCCCATTTGCACCAAAATTACACCAAATTGATGTAAATTTTGGTACAAAATACTATTTCATCTCTAACCATAATACCAAATATTTACCAAAAAGAATATTCTTAGAATATTCTTTTTTTCTTCTTTTATTGTAATAATCAACAATTAATTATTTTACTATTATTTTTTATATATACTAATTAAATATTATAAATGATATTTTTTTAAATAATAATTATTTGAAAATTATACTAATTTAATAAATTAAGTATTTATTTAATCAAAAACATTACATTTAATATAAAAAAACATTACATCTAATATAAAATGATACCAAAAAAAAAAAAAAAAAAACAGCAACACAAAGGTAAAATTCCATATTGATAGTAATTTAATTTTCCGAATTAGTATGTTCTTCCACAAATGATTAATAATGCATTTCGAAGAGCATAGTGAGCCTCTGTATCCTGATGTGTTATGTCGAACAAGAAAATTTCGAAATCGGACATTTCATCTACGACAATTTCAACTAGTAGATGAGATAACAAAATTTTATTCAATGATTTGAATTCTATAACCGATCCAAGCCTACTTGAGTTTTTTCAAAATGAGCAATCAAGAATATGCAAAAAAGAGCTCAACAACAGAGTTAAGGATGTCAAAATAACTATGTTCTTTTCAATATTTGATGATCTTACTGGATCCATACATAATCTACCCGAACACTAAATTATTATTTTAGTTATGTTGTATTTTTTTAATTTTAGTGTTTTAAATTAGTGTTAATTTTTATTTTGAATTATTGTAGTTTAATATTTGCATTGAATAAAGTTCATTTTTAATTTTTCATCATTTTTAAATATATCATTATTATGAGTTATTATTATAAATAATAATTAAATTAAATTAAATTAAATAAAATACTTAAATTGGTGTGATTTTTGGTATAAAATTTATACCAAATTAACTTAACAAAATTAAAAACAAAAAAAAAAAGAAAATTAATATATATAATATATATATTTTTTTTTTTTTTTTTTTTTTTTACACCCAAATTATATATGATATTACCACGCCATTTGGGTGGTGCTTTGGCATGGGTTGGAGCACCAACCCACGCCAATTTGGTGGTTTTACGCCATTTTAGCGTGGGTCGGAAATGCCCTTAGCAATTAGTCAAATTATATCAAGACAAAGAAAAACTTGTATGTGATTTAAAACGTCCAAATAAAAAATTGGGGGCCGCCCTGCATGTAAGGTTTTTCTAATAAATTAATAATTGATTCTCCTGCTCCCACGTTTAGAAGATAGTTTTACTGCAAATTATATCAAGAAAAAAGAAAAATTGTGTATAATTTAAAACGTGCTAAGACAGCATAGCATGCGAATGATGTCAAAGATGTCTAAGAGACTAAGAGTGTATTCACAATATTTGTATATAGGTTTGTTTATCTTTTAAGTCGTTATTTCAAAGATATATGCAATGGGTCCGTTTATTTGTTATTTTGGATAGAATTTTTGAAATAATATTAGAGATCTACATTTTAAAATATTAAACATTTGATTAGTAATTTCATAACCACTAAATATTAAAAAAAAAAAACTATATTAGTTTCAAGAATTAATCCAACTATTTAAAAACACCACATTTAATATATGACAAAGCTACTAATTATCAACCCTTAGAACTGTTTGTACATATGTACTCAATTAACAAACTACGACCTGGTTATATATGTTGTCCATAGTTCAGTCGTTATGTTATCCGTACAGTCATCATGTTATCTATATGTGAAAGAAATAGGGAGCTGTGCGCCGAAATAGTTCAGATTGGCCTGACTAAGCTTCGCCAGAGGTTGAATACAGGTGGAGAGAAGTTGCAGCATGGTTGGTATTGGAAAAGAGGGAATGAAGAAATAAAAGAAGAAATAAGGGAGATGGCAGGTGGAAGAGAGACTTGTCACGGTGGTAAGGGAGAGAGACTGAAGAAATAAAGAGGAAGAAGAAGAAAGGAACTAAAGGTGGAACAAAGGGCCGAGTCAACCCTAACCCGACCGCATTAAAGAGGGTTCAACCCGGACCACATTAGAGAGGGTTCAACCCGGACGCATTACAGGAGAGCCAGGTTGAACCCAACCCGCATGCAACCCTCGGCGGGCCGGGTTGCTATATGGCAACCCACCAACCCGGCGGGTTGCTATTTTTTTGCAATAGTGTTGCCAACCCGTCGGATTGGCCAAAAAAATTAAAAAATAAAAAATTAATTATTTTTCAGTTTCCCCATTTTTTAAATTTTAATTAAACTATTATGATCGAACTCTTACAAATCATTTTACACAATAATATTAAACTATACTTCTAAATCATAATATTAAAATGTAAAAACTTCGTAATCATATAATTTGACACATTGCTATTATTATTTTTTATGGTAAGTAAAATATAAAAAAATAAATACTAAGTCTTATTCTCAAATTTCCATGTCTTATATAAAATATACTTCATTCTTCTGCTAAGTGTATCAATGAAATCATATACAAATACTAATAAACTGTGATACCATACATTTTCAATTAAACTATAAAATTTAAAAAAATAAAAAAGACAATCCAAATATTATTTATATTTATAATAAATTTTTAAATACTTTAGCACTAAAATATATCTAATTAAAAAATCAAACATTTTTTAAGACAAGTCCTAATACAACCCATTATAAAACGACTTATAACAAATTGACCATTGATGACCCAAACCGATAAGAGTAATACTACATATACAACATTCTCATACAATATTTCTCATATAAAATTATGTGACAAAAGATGATTAGTGAAAGTTTAATTTAAATTTAAAATCATTCAATCTTATTTTATCATATAATATTGTATAAAATATTGTATGTATAAACTACCCTAAAATAGTTGTTTTGTAACTTGTTAATTAATTGCAATTATTGTAATCTTTTTTTTCTTACCAAGTTTTTCTCTCATTGGGTTTTTCTTGGTGAGGTTTTAACGAGGCAATAATTGTTGTAATTTCTTATTTTATTTTTTGAATGAATAAATTAATTTTCATATTCAATTTTATTGTATTAAAATTGAATTAATATTGAAATGTTAACAAAAAAAAAATTAATTTAATTAAATTATTGAATTTGAAAAGTTAACTAAAAACATTACATTTATAATTTATTCATTTATAAATTGTAATTATTTATTTGAAAAGTTAAATAAATAAAATAAAATAAAATAAAAATAAAAATAAAAAAAGGGCTAACCTGCCCCGGCCTAGCCGCATCCTAACCCAACAGGTTAGAATTGAGCGCAGGCTAGGCCAATCATTTGTGGACGGGTTAGGACCAATCTGCCCTAATTTAATAACATGCGTGGGTGTTTGGGGGGGGGGGGGTGGGGGGGGGTGGTTTTTTTTTTTGGGGGGTTTTTTTTTTTTTTTTTTTGGATGCACAGGCAGGACCGGACGGATGACTCTATCCAACAAATATATTGCCTTGCTTCTAATCTCGGCATCCTTTTGTGCAAGGGTAGCTCTAGGGTGCGACTCACTTCCTCAGCGAAAGAAGAGTTTAAATGAGGCAACATTAATTTCAATTGCCTAGTAGAAAATCGTTGGAGTTGTTCCAATATGTCTTCTCCTTCCTTTCTCAAATTCGATGATTCAAACAAACACAACAAAGCTCTTGCATCATTTGCCAATGTGGCCTTAAATTCACCGTTATCATCAACGTACTTTTTGAATACATCTGTTTAAACCAAATGTTAGAATATTGATCAAGTGAATAACAAGTTAATTATAGAGATGATAATATTTACCTGATGACACAGAATAACCTTGTTGCCTTAGAAGCCGGAAGCGAAGTGCAATTGTATACAGATCATCGTCATCACTACCATTAATATTGTTGTTGTAAATTGACTGTAAGGCCTGGTTGATCTGATATTCAAAGTGATATGCCACGCCAAGGCGTTGAAGAGCATCAATAAGAGTCGATAGTTCTTCCAATGTTGCTTTTCCTGCTGCATTGCTTAGCATCTTTATTACATCTTCTTTCAGCGTTTCAATTCTCTTCTCAACTTCAGGATCGGACTTCTGCATTAACGATTATAAGAAAATAAAAAATTTATTAGTTAGTTTCATGCTATTAATAAATAAGAAGGTGTTTATATAGGAAGTAATCTTATTTCATGAATGATTTGTTTCATTTAATTGCAACAATAATTACAGATCTCGCTATTCTTTTTTTTCTTCAGAAACATTGATCGAGCGAGCTTCAATATATGGGTCAAACATATAACAAATCATCGATTCAGTATGCATGGAATGAAAGAGACAAAGGGAGAGAAAATATGCATGGAAGAGACATAAAATGGATTCAGTATCTCGTTTCCTGTTGGTTTTGCCTCCCAGGATCTTTGAGTTCGAAAAATGAAAACGTCCCAATTGTTCCACGTTCTTCAATTACACCCAGTCAATAAGGATATGATATTTCATGCTAAAATAATATTCCAAAAACAATCTATACAACTTAGGCAATATTCAATTTTATTATGTATTGATATTCTTAAAAAAAACAAGAAAACTGTCGGTGGCTCTCACATCCCCTGCAACGTAACAAAACCTTAGAAATTTATATTCGCCATATTGTATTTAGCACAAATGAAACTAAACCAGGGCTACAGGATCGAAGAACATCTGCAGTAGGGCGTATTCACAAACATGGACGTAACAATTTACCTTAATTTCTTGTTATATGGGAAAAATGAAATCCATGCATGATGTTTTAGTGCAGAAATGAAAAGACACAGAATTTCAATAAGAAACAAGCTCTAGAAAACAATTATTAATTGCAGTATGAAGATGATGATGTAAATGTTTGATAAATACATACCATATCAGTAGTCGAAACAATGAAATAATCACCCTAGACACTGGGGTGATAATTAGATGATCGACGGATCACCTCAGCATTTCTAGTTTCTTCTGTTGATGCAAGTGCCAAGGACTTCGAATAAAGAGAACCCCGAACATCCATCATATTAAGTTAGAAAGAAAACTTCACAATGAAAATAAGTTGAGTTAGTGGTTTAAATATCTTGGAGTGCATAGCTCTTTATATAGCAATTAATCAATCCGCCATTGATTACACATGCACTGACGTAGCTAATAAATAACTTCTTAAAAATTTTTTAAACCACTGCCCTGGAGAGTAAAAGGGTAAAAAAAGGTTCTATAAACTTTTGAGTTTGAGTCTTTTCAAGCATTAATAGGGGTGGTTACTGAGTTTTTACCCGACCGACAGTTTTAAAATTCCAAGAGATTAGTTGAGGTATATACAAACTGATTCAGAGACCTCGGTGATAGAAAAAAAAAAAAAATATATATATATATATATATACATTTAGGCTAGCTAATATGATAATTCCTATTCCAAGTTTTGAACTTGATGGTTGTTTATAAATTATGACTAATGAAACTGATACCATACACACACATAGGCTCAAATTTTATAAATGTATAATATAATATAAATAAAATGTTCAAGACAATAGTAACTTTAATTTTCATACCAAATTATATGCATCAATTTATTAAAATCTAAGGATTTAGAAATTACTAGGTGTCTCAATTTACATACGGGTTAGCATCACATAAACTCTTAATTAAATATCTTGCTTCAACATCAGGATCTGGGTATTAAAACTGTTTTTAAGAGATCTAATCAAAAAGAATATTCCCTTGTTAATATATAATATATTATATTTGTTTAATAAGATTTTATAAATCTGAATTAATTTATACTCGATATTTTTTTTTTCACTCACAATAAATAAAAAGGAAAGAAAGCACAAAAAATTCAAAAAGAGAATATATGCAGTGGAATTGTCAGAGAGAACAAAGTTTCCACAGTGTCTTGATAACAAGAGAGTTATATGGTATAAAACAATACCACGTCAAACATATAACAAACCATTGATTTATGCATGAATAATATGATATGACTGATACATGAATAATATTCGTATATGGACTTTCTTTAACAAATGAACGTACCCTCAACAGTCAACATGTCACAACAGGAAAATTTGATACAACACGAAATGTACGTATGAATAAATTTATGATTTATGTTATATAAATATCTGTTTAATCCCCTTTTACTTTAAGATGCAATTTAATTATTTATGATTATTAATCCCAATAATTGTATATTTGCACATGTTCCTACACTAATTGTATAAACTTTGTTAACTAAACGAACAATTGTCCAGCGGTCAGGAAAGAAAAATAATCGTCATTAGGTGACTCTGTGATCAACTAGGACTCTTGGGTATAGTACTTAAGAGATCATAAGTTTGATCTATTTTGATTACTAATAGGGGTGATCATTGAGAGGATTTACTCAGTTGTCAACTTCATACCTCGGAGAATTAGTTGAGATACATTCAAGCTAGCTCGAATACTCCTGATTATTAAAAAAAAAAATAATAAAAAAAAAAAAAAAAACTAATGCCCATGTGCCAGAAACTATCTATATATGTTAATAAAATATATAATTAACCTATAATAAGATAACTTATCACTTATAGCCCTTTCCTATTTAAAAGAAAAAACGAAAAAGAAAAAAAGCTGTGGTTGATGAATGCCAAACGGAAGCAAATTAATGATCTACTTCTAACCAATTATGTTTACTCTTTCCTTTGATCGATACACAGAAAATTGATGTTTGATTTATTTCACATGTAACAGCTAGCTCCATTTCCAAAACGTCTTACCTGAATTAAGCTTGCTGGAATTCACAATTCAGAAGGAACTAAGCATGACAGCAGCCACCAGCTGCATGCCACAGTATTTACCTACCCTCGCTTAATTTAATCGTTTCATTTGCGTTGCATGAAATGGAAGTTACGTTAACCCAGGAACCTTTTCTCTAAACGTTGTGCTTCTTATAAGTCGTGAGTCGTGAATCGTGGAATGAAAACTATAAATAAGAATAAACTCCACATTATAATAATTTATAATTTTTTTAATTTATATTTTAAGAAAGTTATCTCTACATAGTAATAATTATCTATATATTACAAAAAAATATATGTTATATTACATTAAAAGTTTAAGATGAAATAAAATATTGTATTTATCTAAAATTATTTGGAACAATGATTTATGCTTTAGAGTTGTTATCACATCTTTTAATTTACAGGTATATAATAACTCGTTAACATAGACACTTTGTTGTTGATGCTAGAATATTTTTAGCTTCTCAAGTACGTTTAGAGTTTCTTGACACAAAACTTTTTGTATTTTCGTACTATCATCTTCAAGATTATTTATTTTCTCTTCTTGTCTAATTGTAATAAGGACTGCTAAAACAATGAATTGAAATCCTAATACATACTACTAAAATATAAATTATAAAATAAGAAATTAAAACAATAATTTTTATAACTACACCTCTATTATATTATAACCTCCTTATAGTAATCTCACCTTATAGTTTTATATATGCAAAACAAATATAAAACAAAATTGAAAAAAAAAAAAAAAATTGGGGGCCCGCCCTGCATGTAAGGTTTTTCTAAAAAATTAATAATTGATTCTCCTGCTCCCACGTTTAAGAACATAGTTCTAGGCTTTTAGACCATCTCCACCCCATTTGCACCAAAATTACACCAAATTGATGTAAATTTTGGTACAAAATACTATTTCATCTCTAACCCATAATACCAAATATTATACCAAAAAGAATATTTCTTAGAATATTCTTTTTTTCTTCTTTTATTGTAATAATCAACAATTAATCTATTTTACTCATTATTTTTATATATACTAATTAAATATTATAAATGATATTTTTATTAAATAATAATTATTTTGAAAATTATACTAATTTAATACAATTAAGTATTTATTTAATCAAATAAACATTACATTTAATATAAAAAAACATTACATCTAATATAAAATGATACCAAAAAATAAAACAATAAAGACAAGAACAACAAAAAAGTAAAATTTCATATTGATAGTAATATTTGCATTGAATAAAATTTTGTTTTTAATTTTTCATTATTTTTTGAATTATATAATTATTATGAATTTATTATTATAAATATTAATATAAATAATAATTAAATTAATATAAATACAAATAACAAAAATTACAAAATATATATATTTTTTATAGTGTTTAAACAGTACCACGTCAATTTGTTTTAGTATTTGGTATTTAGTTGGAGTATATTTTTCACAACATTTTGGTGTTTTGGCGTTAGATTAGAGATGTCGGATGTAAAAAGCCCGTACAGAATTGAGATTTTATAGAAACATAGTGGTCCAATTGAGCCCATCTCTGCCCTGCCAAAGAATCAGATGGGCAGAGATGGGATTTGGGACAAAATTTTGTGGCTAGGGAGGGACATTGTTAGTCCNAAAATACTTAAATTTGGTGTGATTTTTGGTATAAAATTTAATACTCAAATTAACTTAACAAAATTAAAAACAAAAAAAAAAAAGCAAAATTAATATATATATATATATATATTTTTTTTTTTTTTTTTTTTTTTTACACCAAAATTATATATAGATATTACCACGCCATTTTGGCGTGGTGCTTTGGCATGGGTTGGAGCACCAACCCACGCCAATTTGGTGTTTTTTACGCCATTTTAGCGTGGGTCGGAAATGCCCTTAGCAATTAGTCAAATTATATCAAGACAAAAGAAAAACTTGTATGTGATTTAAAACGTCCAAATAAAAAAATTGGGGGCCGCCCTGCATGTAAGGTTTTTCTAATAAATTAATAATTGATTCTCCTGCTCCCACGTTTAAGAAGATAGTTTTACTGCAAATTATATCAAGAAAAAAGAAAAATTGTGTATGTAATTTAAAACGTGCTAAGACAGCATAGCATGCGAATGATGTCAAAGATGTCTAAGAGACTAAGAGTGTATTCAGTCAATATTTGTATATAGGTTTTGTTTATCTTTTAAGTCGTTATTTCTCAAAGATATCATGCAATGGGTCCGTTTATTTTGTTATTTTGGATAGAATTTTTGAAATAATATTAGAGATCTACATTTTAATAATATTAAACA